AGGCCATGTCTGAAGCTGGCAAGACAAACTCCTACATTCTTCTTGAAAGCTGAGGTTTGACTTTCAGTGAGAAGTGAGATTGTGGTTTTCTGCATTACTATACCGCAGTGTCGTAGGTGGTTACTGACATTTCGGAGGAACCCGTTGCCTCCATCTTTAGAGTAGCTGGATGCAGCATGTTGTCAAGTCAGAAGACCATGATCTTCAGTTGTTTGTCTGAGATATTCAGTGGTGCTTGAGTCATTTAAACGCGATAGACTATTTAACTTCTAGAAACATTTCGAATTTCCGTTCTTAATGCCTCCACAATTTAATACATTCAGCAAAATGATAACTGTCTCGTAATTTTAAAGATTTTTCAAATTAATTAATTAAGACTTTTCATTATTCTAAAATGTACTCGTATGTTAGCATCCAAATATACTGTCACGATTTAGGGGGTTGCCCGTGACTTATAAGACGGGTTCTGTATTGGAGGATTGGATTTATTGACACCTTATTCACGCAGCTCGGGACTACAGGCAATACATCGCTGTTGCTTATCTACCTCATTTACAGTTCACAGTTACGCACTAGGTTTATCAGTCTTTACTAGTCGTATCCTGGCAATGGATTTATAACAATCTCACCATCATTTCAACTAACACTTGGAACCTTCTTTGCACCGCCAAATTCTTTTTTGCCATTATTCTGCAACTGCCAACTCAGTTCAATTCCTCTGCTCCCAAGCTCATATCACGGGAGGCTGGCGTCTCGAAACTCGACTCAATTCTTCTCAACTGAATTCTTCTTTATAGCCACTTTGCACGGACCACGCAGAAATCACAGCCTGTCTCTTGTTAGAAAGGCGTGTTTACAACGCAGTTGCATAGCAACGGAAATTACTCGTTGCTTGCATATTCATTGCAGCTGGATTATGTTTACCGAGCCGTTGCCTAGCAATGAACGTCTATTCTGACTTCACTATTCCGGATTTCTGGCGTTAGGTCACAACATCTTTGAAGTAATTTAGCTCTTTTATGTATACAAGTTGGAAAATATACTCAGTACATGTAAACATGCGCAGTTTTCATGCGTCTGCTCTGTTACCGCTTCAAGGTTTTCAGGTAGTGAGTGTGAATTTCTGATGTTCGCCTGTAAGTAGCTTAAAACCGATTACTGTAAAACAAATACATCAGAGATGAAATCGCGTGAACTGTCAGCCACAACAGTTTTTAGCTTTCTTTTAATTCCTACGCTCTGTTAAACCAGCTGAAGCCCTTTTATTCATATAGAATTTTGTATTCTGACCTACAATAACAGACTTCGGTAGTACAATACATTATATTAAATATATAGACTTATTATATTGTAGAGTAGGCCTATAAATTCATGTGGAAGGAAGCGTAGTTCAGGTGAAATTGTTATCGAGACTTCGGTAATCTTCGGGTGTGTTTGGAAGAACATTAAGTCAGGAAATCGGTCCTCGCCATAGCTCAAGCGGTTAGTCGCTGACTTCCCATCGCGGCGACCCGGGTTCGATCCCGGGTCTGGTAAAGTGGGATTTGTGGTGGACAAAATGGCGCTGGGCAGGTTTTCTCCGAGTACTTTGGTTTCCCCTGCCAATCTTCATTCCACCAATTGTTCCACAATCACCCTCACCTATCGTCTGGGGCTGGTACAATAGGCCAGAAGTGGCCGCAGTACAAGGGACTTAGTCCCACCCCACTAGCAATAAAAGTAAGGAAATGCGTAATTATTCTGTTTCACACTTCCTGTTTTCACCTACAATTTCTAAAATGAAGATACATTTATGCGACGAGTAATTGGATTATCTTCACGGAGTCCGTAAATTTCGTTGTTTTGTGATTACGTTTTGATACACCTGATCTGTTTTTAACTGAGGGCGGAACGCCATGTCTCCATGGATGGCAATTTGGTTGCGCTATCATGGGAAGCTTATATTACTGCCCCAACACATGTAAATTTTATTGTGACTAATGACTACTGACCTGTTATTCACACATCACGCCACTGACTTCCTGTAACATTCGTTTGAAGAAAACCTATTCAGAGCAAATCAGCGAGTCCCGAAGGAAGAGAACAATGCAAGTAGCAATATTTTATTTTCATAATTCAGTATCTATATGTAAGGCAGAAAATAAAAGCAATAATGTTCATACCATGCCAAGAAGATGTATTGGTGAATGGAGGTACACATCATACATTCCTAACCTCTAACCTAAATGAAAGTGAGTGGACAGCTTCACCCCCGGAGAAATGACTTCCAGTAATCGCTGAATGCGAATGGGCCCCACAGCCGGGTTGCACTTGGTGTCAAAGATTAAAATTCCTGCCTGCCGTCATTCGAGCTCTCACTGTCCAGCCCGTTTTGATCATCATACTGACTGAACTATACCAACCTGTCTAGAAATTAGAAAATTAATGTATTTTCGATAGTTCTGGCGTTTGTCGATTTTAGGTTCCCCTTAAGTTCTAAGGGATTTGAATGAAAATGTGTATCATTCAATTGATGTGGATCTCATTAGGATGTATGACTTTCTTTGATATCGAGAATATTTGACGAATATGATGGTATGGATTGTAATATTTCTTTTGTTGATTATCTCTTTCGGAAACAGGGTTGAATCTGCAGAAAAAAAAAAGCGATATCGGCGACTGACATATGAGAAACCGCAAAGAAGTAATTTCGAAAATGTCTCATTTCTCTGCATCCCGTCTGCTGTGTCATATTTCTACCCCAACTCCGTATAATATCCACTGAAAAGTTAAAAATTCTAATATGTGAACAGAGTGTGGGTGCATATTATATTCAAGTACGTCAGACTGGAGCGAAACTTCTGCAGCACAGTTTATGAACCAAGTTTTATTAAGTAAAATTGACCGCAGGAATTACAGTATCACACAAATTTTGTACATGAGCGGAGACAGAGGCTTCTCTGCTGCATGCATATTAACTCAGAAATGTAATTCTTGAGTCAGAAGAAATTTAAGAATCCTGTCGGTACTCATATCTCGAGTTGTGAAGTGGTGTTCATCTATTGACACTGTGGGCCGGTTGAAATGAAAACAGCGTTACGGGAATGCATCTTAATAGCATCTACAGATGTTCCGTCCTAAAGATTATGTATGAAATTATCTTAATTTTCTTCATTTATAAAATTCCATTAAATGTGTACAGTTTAACAGAAGAATGGATAAAACTGGGGGCACATGGTAGCGTAGTTGGTTGAGGCACTAAGCTAGAAGTCGGAAGGTCGCGGGTTCAATTCCTGATGAGGTCACTGGTTTTAAAATTAACCTAATCCTTCCAGCCACACTGTGGCCCTGGTGTCGACTCAGCCTCTAACAGAAGTGAATACCAGGAATCTTCCTTGGGTTTAAAGGGGGACCGGCGCGTAAGGCTGACAAATTCACCGCTATGTGTGGGCCGATTGTCTAGAAAACGTGGGAACCTCAACGCTTCATAGCCCTATGGGCCTCCACGGCCAGTTAGAGGGATAGCTTTTTACCTGGCCAAAACTGAACACTGAAGAGCTTCATCATATGTACTCTTCAGCAAATCTGTGAGTGATCAAATTAAGGAAAATGAGCTAGATGGGACGTGCCAGGATTTCCCTTAATCTACTTAAATTAAAATATGTAATCAAAGCACAGCTACGAAAGATTATAGGTACATTCTGAAGGCAAGAGACCTTTCGGGACAGGATATTCAAGATACTGATACGAGGCCAAGAAATTATTAAAATTGATCGTGAAGAAATGCAATATGAGGCTGTGGACTTGGATCATCTGACTCAGAATGGGGAACAGTGGGTCGGCTTTTGTGAACACGATAATAACTTTCGGGTTTTGTAAACGGTGGCAAATATCTTGACCAGATGAGCGACTGTTAGCTTTTCGAGAATGTCCCTGTTCCATGTATGTTTATATATGTGCATGCATTGCTCTTGGGATGTCGTGTAAAGTCAGCTCTCCACATAAACGCAATAAATAATAATACAGTCACAACTGACATCGTGTTATCTGTTAGAAATGCCGTAATATATCTGATTATCTGTGTTTGCACAATCCAACCATTTTCAGGTTGTATCCTCTGGCTACTTGTCACTTGACATAGGTGACATCTGTTGGTAGCAATATGTTGACACGAGTTTATACGGAATAAACGATGTCCATTGATATAAATAGATAAGTTCGTCACGGGCGAGCGAATAACCTCTGTATATTAATGGCCGCGCCATTGCTCAAGTGGTTAGTCCCTGGCTTCCCATCGCGGCGGCCCGGGTTGGATCCCGGTTCTAGTCAAGTGCGATTTGTGGTGGAAAAAGTGGCGCTAGGGCAGATTTTCTCCGAGTACTTCGGTTTCCCCTGCCAATCTTCATTCCACCAATTGCTCCACAATCAACCTCACCTATCATCTGGGGCTAGTACAATAGGCCAGAAGTGGCCGCAGTACAAGGGACTCAGTCCCACCCCCCTAGCAATAAAGAAGTCCTCTCTATATTATATACGCATCAAACGAAATTACTAATGATACACACTAAAGGCGAAAATAGCGCCACAAGAAGAGAGATGCACGCAGTTCCAGAGGACTACAGCTGTATGTCATGCTACTCACACCCAAATTATTGGAAGACTTCTTTCTTAGTTATCTCGTACTTTTCCAAGCTGCCAATTAAAACATTCAGTATCCAATTTGTGAATATAATATTTCTTTTCAGGTAGCACAGAAAGAAACAAAATTATAAGAGCAGAAAATAATGACGTTAATACCCAAAGAGACTGCGTTCCGTTATATTATTCTCTGATTTCTTTCCATTTCCATTTTTGCGTTAAGTATTTTCAGTTTATTTGTAGTTATTTTACATTTGATCTTGCTCTATATCGAAGAGACCGGGCAGTTTCCGTTTGATCACGGTTCTGTCGAGTTCACTGCGTGACACTTCACGACTACGGTCCTGGGAACCAAGCAAGCTGTGGTAGACACGGCTACTCACCTCCGCAGCTGCTGCCGACCGGCGTGAGGGACAGTAGCCTCGGTCGCCGCCACAGTAGCACTGTCTTGTACGCTTGTCGGTACTGCTTATTCATGATGACGTAGATGATGGGATTGATGCAGGCCGATAGGTACAGCATGATGTAGCCCAAAACATGGAGACCTGTAACCAACACCATAATACCATCTTAATCGCTAGCACCAGCAGCACCATGACACACTGGTGTTCCCGCTAGGATGCCTGGCGTCACGGTGTACGGGGTTCCAAGCTTAGACGCTTGGCCGGGGGCGGGGGGAACCCTCAGTGATTTTAGTCCGCAAGCGAACTATACCGACCAAGCAACCGCCATTTTTTCGGCTAAGTTAGTGTCAAATTTAACAGATAGAGGGTGTCGCGTGGTCAGCGCAACGAATCCCCACGGCCGTTAATTTCGGTTTTGTAGACCGGAGCCCCTATTTCCTTTATACAGCTCCTCAGCTATCCTCATGAGGCTGAGTGGACCTCGTTCCAGACCCATTACTTCTAAGAAAATCTGGTAGCGCCGGGAATCGAACCCGGACCTCTGAATCTGTAGTCAGGAACTCTGACCATTAGACCACAGAGGAGGTCCTAGGCCGAAGATTGGCTCATTGATATTTAACGTGTTTTTTCTCAATTCCCCACAAGAAAAGGTTGGGATATGACCTGAAATAAGCCACGTAAGTCATCATTCAAAATCACAATTCTCCGTATCTCGGGAGATTTAAAGCTGTGACCACACAAGCCTATCTTCATGGGTCCAGTATGTGAGACTTGTGGCTCCGATGAGGACAGTCTTCTGAAGTATGTCGCCATGCAATCTGGTAGATGGATACCAAGGTTTCGGATGAAAATGGAGAGGGGGAGATTACTCTGAAACGTTTGTATCTACCAGACTACCCAGCGCAATATTGATATTCTCTGTGATTTTCCTCAGTGATTCCAGTTAAATTATGGAATAGTGCTTCCGATACGCCATGACCACTTAATTCCATAACATCCCTTGTTTTTCATCAGCAGAATATTCCGTGTTACATAAGTTAAGCAGTATAAAAGCATAACCAAATAAATCAATGCACAATACACGCAGTCATTCCACTCTTCAAAATTGTATACTATATCTATTTGAAAAAGCGGCGTTATATAAGCGCAGAATATATCCCCTGGGGTTGGGCTATCTTTTGACAAAGGCCTTTTCCATTTTTCTCAATCTTTTTATAAGCGCCCGTCTTTTATCTGTGTTCACTCCTCTATTTCATATATCTATCACAACTTAATCCCTCCCCCCCCATCATCGTAAATCGCCATTTATCTGACAGCTTAATTTCTGATAAATGACTTCCGAAATGTGTTACATGGAACCCAAAGATTCTGTCAGGGTCTCCCTGGGACTACGCTGTGATTTCTGAATTCACTGATGTCATTACGTACAATGCCCTACAAATACGGTTCTACAGGATGGCGCACCAATAGTTGATATTGTCACGTATCGGGCGTATAACGCGACAAATAACTTCACGAGGTATTTGATGTAGCGAATTTTATTTCACATTCGCACTTACAATCACCCAAATTACAGATTTACGATTACTGCTATCTGCAGTATCACAATTAGTACACTCCAAATGCCACAATACAACTGGTTGCCGGCTAACTCGGAACTAACTCGGAGGTAGCTCGAGGACTAACTGACTGACTGTGAATAGCCTTCGCTGCTCCTTATGTAGCCTTGATCGGACAATTGTCGTCTGGTGCCTTGTTGCTAGCCACGCTGTCCGGAGTTGTTGACTGCTGCCTAGCAACCGCGATATCCCTCGGTGACGTTACCGCTGTTGATTCGCTTTGCATAGCTTCATGGTCGCGGGGACTCGGCTAACGTCGGCTCCGCTCGGCTCACTTCGGCTCCGCTCGTGACGTCACCGCGCGTTGCGCGTTGCATAGCTACCAGGATGCGGGGTGATTACTCGCCTATTACGCGAGCGCTATGTTACCGCTACGTGCAGCTGGGTAGGTAGGGGCCAACATGTCACAATATATTTGAATATTTAACAGCAAAATTATTCATTCTTCGTATGATAATTTTTTAAGAACTTGTATTTTTTTTCTCTCCTTTTTTATTTTCATCAAAGCATTTGTTCAGCATGATGCGATACTGGAATGGCATGCATCGACAAATTTCTTTTTAATCGATTTTTTTAAAAGTGTCAACTGTTCTTGTACCATTCATTACGAGAAAATATTGCCTAGTCTCGTAGGCGGGTGTTTTGCGGCTTATTAAAATATTTCTTTCTGTTAGTGCATACAAAAGTGAACAAATTTAATACAGTGTAACTCACATAGGCACATAAAGTGCGGTCGCATTTTATCCGAATGTGAAATAATGTGATATAAAAATATTAATAAATCTTTACTTTATGCGAGAAGTAATGAAATAATGCGAATCCCCAAAAATTCGGCAATATATTTATTTTTGTGAGAAAACTTGTCTTGAAATAGGCGAGTTCTGAAGTATGCAGTGTCTTAGGAACGCATACCTCGCATTAAATGCGACCGCACTGTATTTTCATGAAATTGGTGTGAACATTGTGTACCTGGAAAATGAACGTCCTCGTCAGCTACCTTAACTATGGTGATAGGCAGGTAGCATACGACGAAGGAGAGGAATATGGCAAGCACCATCTTCGTGATGCGCCACTCGTTTCGTTTCGTCTTCAGCTCTCGTTGTTCCTTGGTTTTCGTTTTGGTGGCCCCGGAGCGCATTCCGGCCGCATGCTCCCTCATCCTGCTCTCGGACCTGCACACAGGTGTGCCCATTCTTGTGTAATACGTGATGCATACATCTTAGGAACAGTAGAAAATTACCTCGTGCAAAAATCGTACTGGTACGGAAAACTACAGAATGCATGACTGTTACGTAATTTTAATTCGCATAGTGGGGGGTGGAGTCCAGTTGGGTGCACTCGGCACGGCTGCCACTGATTGGCCTATTGTACTTGCCTAGGGTTATTATGAGGATGGAGAATTTAGTGGAATGAAGATTGGCAGGGGAAACCGTAGTACTCGGAGAAAACCTACCCCAGCGCCAATTTGTCCACCACAAATCCCACTTGATCAGACCCAGGTTTGAACTCGGGCCGCCACGGTGAGAAGCCAGCGACTAACCGCTTGAGCTATGGCGCGGCCCTATGACTGTTACGTAATAAGAGGTCAGAGTTCATTCTGCTTGATATGTGTACAGAAATTTCCATAACGAATAAAGAGGAAATCCGACAGTAAATGTGGAATGAATTACAATTTTCTGGATATCAAGTAGTTTCAGAAATGTTCCCAAGAAATGCGAAAGGCGCCTGGTGGCTTCAAATGCTGTACCTGTCCGTCTGCTCGTATTAAGCAACTCGGCTCCGCCTGGGTGGATTTTCGTAAGCATTTATGTTGGGGAGTTTTACTGAGACCTGTTGACAAAATTTAGCTTTGGTTATAAGTGGACAAAAATAACGGGCACTTTACACGAAGACCCAGATGTGTATCATGACAACACCTCGCTGCCTCCCACTCCACAGAAGAGACCACATTGGGTTCCTATCCCATTCAGTAATTTTACATGTGAAACAACTGAACGCGCCTCAAACGTTACGTTACACGTACATTTCCTGTGTTTTCACTGGCTACTTATGTACACGAAAGCAGCGTATGTGATTAATCGCTTAGATTTGGAAAATCTACGTGATTTGCATTCTAGGAACGTTGGAAACAGCAGGAGTTGTAAGTGTGAACTGAGCACATAGAATAAATTGAAACGAAATATACCGACCCGTGAGAAGAGTCATGAAGAAGGAGAAGAAGCCATTTTGACACTAGATCAGAATATTCACGAACAGACTTACGTTTTATGAGAAAAGGATTTGGATTTGAGGTCCTCACAGCGGTGACTAATAAATAGCCTCGTAGTAGGTAGAAGTTCACCGACGTTTCGGAGGAACGTAATCCCTCCATTTCCATGGTCGAACATTAAGCCAAGCATTCCCCTTGCTACCTGCTTCTTGCTTGTTACTATGTTAGCTTACTAACTTTTAAACCCTGAAGATGGAGGTAGTAAGATCCTCGAAATGTCGGCGATCTTTTAGCGGATTAAACGGCGTCACATCCTAGAAGACAAAAGAACTTCGGTTATCTGATAATCCGGATCAAGATTCAAAACAGATATCACCGGAATTCAAGTCTAGAGCATTACAGGTGCATCAGTTTGCAGTTTGGTTTGAAGGAAGACAACTCGGCGATTCGAGGCCATAGTCTCGAAAATTTTCACCACCATAAAGTATAATTCGCAGTTGGGACGATTCTCGTACGTGTGTAGGATGCGAACCTGAAGATGTAAGTGGCTATCAAGACAAGTCTTGGAAGACTGTACCGAGTAAAACAAAAAAGTTGGAAAATGGGATGAAGCCAAATTTGATACCAAAGACAGGACGAAGTGGAAAACACTTTGCAGCACTTCTACGCATGCCCTTACTTGTGCACGACCCAGAATATCCGGGCATAACAGCAGACGATGACGCAGCAGGGAATGAGAAACGCGATAACGAACAGAGCTGGTTTCGAGGAGTTACCGTTGTTGTCCCTCAGGATGGTGCAGGTCCCCAGTTTGCCATCCAGCCCGAACATACCTGGAAGGAACAACAGTCGGGTAGTTATCTTTATCCTGCAGCTGAATAGTCCACTAAGTGGCTGGCTTAGTTATTCGTTCACTGAATGACTAGCCAACCAGCTAACCAGGTCATGAATTCCCCAGTCAACTACCGACTGACTAAGTGATTAATTGACTGATTGATGAAATGACTTGAGTGCCAAACGTAACGGTCAGATGACTGACAGATGAAGTGGCTGACTAACGATCCGACTTAATAATAAACTACTAAACTGTCTTACGGCCGGTCCCGGTAGCCGAGCGGTCTAAGGCGTGCACTGTCTTCTATCGCTCGGAAGCTGGGATCGTGGGTTCAATTCCCACTCAGGGCATGGATGTTTGTGTACAAGTAGAGGCTTGCTACGAGCTGATCACCCGCCGAAGGAGTCCTACCGAATGTGTAAGATCTAGAAAAACCGAAGTGAACGGAGAAGTTCATGGAGGTAGGCCTAGGCCCACTGGGGCTGTAGTGCCAAGGGAAAAAAAAGTGTCTTACGAATGGCTGATTGAATGGTTGGCAGACTAATTGACTCATTCGTCCCCTAACTCACTAGTACTCCCTGGGAAATCGCCCAAGAAATATGCTTCGTCCCTTATTGTTATAAAAAGTAGAGCTATCCCTGTAACAATCCGTGGAGGCTTGTAGAGGTGTGAGACGTCGAGGCTGCCACATTTACTAGACAATCGGTTCATAGATGGAGGTGAGGCTGTCAGCCTTACGTGCCGGCCGCCCTTTACCCCAAGGAAAATTCCTGGTTTTCATTTCTGTTAGAAGCTGAGTCGACCCTAGGGCTATAGTGCTGCTGGATAGATTTGAACAACAGGAAAATTCAGTCACTTCATTGGGAGTCGAACCCACGACCTTCCGGCTTTTAGCATAGTGCCTCAATTAAATAAGTTATCATGTTCCCCATTATTATTATTATTAACCATCTGATATACGAGTACAAACTTTCTCATGTCACTATAACTCGAACATATTCAGTGAAAGACCTGGGCGTATACCTTGATTCCAAACTTCATTTTCATGATCATGTTAATTTTATATTTTCACATCGTATTAAAAAAACCTTACACGCGTGGAATCCGCGACATCATATGATGACGTTCGACCAGCTGCCCTAACTTTCAACGTCATCATATGATGTATAATGATGCTAGGTATAATTCGCAGTATCACCATTAACTATTCAACCCTTGGATGCGTGTTCATATTATACTTTAGCTAGATCCAAGGTTGAATACGCTTTAGTAGTTTGGAATCCCATTACGTCAACTGATGCAAACAAACTAGAACACATTCAGCAGAAATTTACGGCTCTCCGTTTTAAACGTTTTTTTCCTCAAGTCGATTTTTTTTTCCTCTTGGCACTATAGCCCTAGTGGGCCTAGGCCTACCTCCATGAACTTCTCCGTTCACTTCGGTTTTTCTAGATCTTACACATTCGGTAGGACTCCTTGGGCGGGTGATAAGCTCGTCGCAAGGCCTCTACCCTCAAGTAGATTACTGTTACGAATTTGTTTTAGAACAATTTAAATTGCACACCTTGCAAAAGAGGAGATATCACCTTGATTCACTCTTCCTTTTTCAAGTTTATCGTGGTTCTATACTTTGCCCTCTGCTTTGGAAATTGTTGGCCTTCGGGTCCCTGTTCGATATATCCGAGACATTCCTATGTTCAATGTCTTCTGTTAGTAAAAATTGCCCCTCTACTAGATGCGCTTCTGCTGCTAATGTTTGCAGGGACGTTGACGTCTTTGGACCAAAAAGTCTGTTGATGAAACATGTCTTATACTGAATTAATACTATTATTATCATTATTTTTATTAATTTCGTTATTATTATTATTATTATTATTATTATTATTATTATTGCATGCTGCTCTATTTGAAACTCAAATTCTCACATTGTGGCTTTGTCTGTGTGTGTTTGTTTCTGTATCTTTATTCATGCTCACGGTATAATTAATATATCCTATCATATTTTGTATTTTGTTTTTTTAATTATTTTTGTGTATTTATCTCTGTTCGTGCTGGCTTTGTAATTGGCCTCTGTACTCTTAAGATTGCACGTAAATAAACACGAATTGAATTAAATTATTACCTGTTAATGTTAAATTTTCTTGGAATTTTATTAATTTATTGCCATTATATAGACTGTCTTATTTTGTATGTTGTATTTTAATTGTCTTTGTGCCTTTCTACATACTCGTGCTAACTTTGTAATTGGCCTCTGTGCTGTTAAGTTTTTGCATGTACATAAACACTGGACCCGAAGTTCCATTATCCTTAATTATAATACAGCCTTTGGACGCAAGCCTAAGGCAGTTAAATGCAGTTCACATCCACAAAGCCAGCCACATTTTAATACTAATTTTCTATTTGCGCTTCCAACTCCCTAGCGGACTGTTTTATTATATTTTACAATCAAATTTTACATGAATTCGTTGTTTTCCGATCCGCCTATACAATATTTATCCCCTTAATATTACGATGTGAAGAGAATAAATTATGAAGCTTCCCAGTATTTAATTACGTCAGCCATTATTTTACTCTCTTTATCATGGGTCCAAATATTGTCCTCAGCATTTTGTTTACAGGCATCCACAGTCTATATTCTTCCCTTGAAGCGACAGGTGATATTCACACCCACAGAAATCAGTTTAAATAGCCACCGTCTCTGTCGAAAGAAAACGGGAACATAAACTATTCTGAACTGAAAAAGCATACAATAATCTTTTCAATCTCAGGTATAGGCCGAACCAAGTAATTCGCTGATTACCCCCATGCATCACAGAGTCCTTGCTGGCAAACTGATGTTCGCTCAGATGTTTAAGAACCCATCACGCATTGCAAATATTAATATTTTTGCTTCCATGCATATGCTTTTCTCTTTTACTTCACCTCTTCTTATCATCCTCTTCCTCCTTTGAACGATTATCCCCTCCTTTATTCTTATCTCAAATTTTCCTTCCCACTGCTTCCTTTCAGTCTGCCTTATTTATTTTCTTGCACCCCATCCTCTTCCTTCTCCCCCCTTCCTCATCTTCTTAGTTATTTTCTTCTCCACTTCTTTCTCGATATATACCTATAGCGGTCCATTCTTGTGATAGAAATAAACACCAGAACAACAGTTAACAGACACGGAGACCAGCAGGTTGGGCAGTACAGAATTTAGTCGTCTGTGTGTTATGGCTAGGACCCGGATCTTTATGCGCTAAAAAGACTTAAAATATGCGCTAAAAAGCGGGGAAATGTGCACCAAAAATAAAACAATATGCACTTAAGAAACAGGTAACTTTAATCAGACTCACCTATTTACATGTATCATTCACTGCAGAAAGTAGCATCACAAAGGCAACTAGAAGTCTTTCAGTGCTTTCTGGAGACGAACTACGTCTATTGTCCGTCAAAATGAGTTTATAGGCTGAGAATGATCTTTCTACATCAACTGACGTGATTGGACAGTATTTATACACTGGCGCCGAAGGTTCGGAACATTCATCTGGCAAAGATACCCTAATTCCACTCAAGTACTGACTAACTGACTGAATCTTTTTTGGTCCTGAGTTCGATTTCAACACCTTTTCTAACTTGAATTTAATCTCTCCAATTTCGCCTGGAGCGGAATTCAGTGAACAAGTTGCTTTCTGAAAGAGTTCAAGTGAGTCGTGAAGGAGTGCACCACAAGATTCTAAGCTCTCAATGGCTTTTGAAACTGTGGAAAAATGTGCATGGATAAAATTCACCTCTTGATAAACAGTATCACTTCCAAACACCACTCATACTCATCTTCAAGTTTTGTAACCACTTCTTTTACTTGATTGAAATTCTCCTGATAAAATGAAACTGCGGATAACCATGTCCCCCACCTAGTTAGGACAGGTTCAGGTGGCAGAGGAACCTGAGTTAGGCAACCTTTGTAGAACTGGACACGAGCTGGTGCTCTCGGAAACAGTTTTTTCTCCACTTACAAATAAATCGTTAACAGCTGGAAACTGTGCGCGTATTTTTTCTGCAAGACGGCGTAATCCGTGCGCTAAGCAGGTTACATGTATAAGATTTGGATAAAATACTTGCAAGGCCTTTGCTGCCTTCAACATATAGGAAGCTGCATCTGTGAGTAATACAAGCACCTTACAACAATTATTCTCAATTTCAGATGGCCATAGTAGTCGCATAGAATCATTTACAAATCTTGCTATTGTGCTATGGTTGGTTTTCTCTAGTACTTTGCAGGCAAGAAGATGAGGGTTGCCGGGTTCGTCTGGATGTAGCTTAGCAACTACGAAATTTGCTATGTATCGGCCACATAAATCGGTTGTCTCATCCACCGATATCCAGACACAGTTCCCTCCGATGTCACAACGGATTGACTCCAGAGTAGATTCATACAGCAAAGGTAGATCATTTTTCTAAGAGTTGATTCATCTGGAATTTTTTGAATTACACAATATTTCTTCAGAAATGATCGCAGAACTGGAATGCTTAATTTATTCCATGGAATGTTGCTGCATATTAAAACCTTACAAAGATCGGCTGAAAATGTATTAACAGAGGATTTGGGTTTGACCTGTGTAAGAAGTAGTTGTCGTGGCATGCTGTTCTTCTTCCCCTTCTTTGCCGCAATATGTGCAGTCGTTCTTGAGTGTTGTTCAAGTTGAAATTTCTTTTCACATTTTACTTCCTTTGCGCAAACCTGACAGTACACAACAACACCGTCTGTTGAATAGTCAGTATTACCCGACACCCACCGAATTTTTAAATATCTACTGCTGTACTTTTCTTTAGGAATTTTCAATACACGAACACTTTACTGATGTAGACTATTAAAGTAAAGAGTAACACATTAACTGAAGAGACTTCTCTCGAGACCAATCCTCTGATGCTACTGTCTGCTGTGGTGGTCAAAGCGATGCAGGAAAATCGCACCCCCTCCCTTTCAAAATAGCCTAGCTACCTGCTTGTATTGTAAGTGGT